AGCTAGAAACTCTTCTCTCTCAATGGCTCCCTTGGCCCCTTTAAGTCTTTGCTCCAATGTCACCTCTGACCATCCTATTTAAAATTGTGACACTGCTTTATTTTTTCCATGATTCTTTTTTTTTAATATATTTTTTTATTGATTTTACACAGAGAGGAATTGAGAGGGACAGAGAGTTAGAAACATGGATGAGAGAGAATCATCGATCAGCTGCCTCTTGCACACCGCCCCCCACTGGGGATGTGCCCACAACCAAGGTACATGCCCTTGACCGGAATCGAACCTGGGACTCTTCAGTTCGCAGGCCGACGCCCTATCCACTGAGCCAAACCGGTCCCGGCTCCATGATTCTTAACCCTGGCTAATACACTATTTATTTATTTTGTTTACGGTGAGCTCCAGAAAGCAGGGATCTCTGTATAATCTTTGCTGTGTCCTTGGTGCCTAGTACAGTGCTTGGCACAAAATTGGCGCTCAACAAATATTTGATGAATGAATGAGTGAATGAATGAATTCTGTGACTGGGGATCAGTGGTCTGAGCTTCATACACTCTGCTTCTCTCCCAGACCTAAAGGAACTGGATGCCTGGCCCCTGCGTTTGTTTACTTTCAAAGGGACCTTCCATGGCTCCGCATTGCCAAAAGCTCAAGTTTAAGTTCCTCAGCCTGACATTTGGGTGTTGAGGAACTGGTCCCACTAGTATCTAAAGCCTCAGAAGGGTTCCTCGCCCCCTAGTACCTTCAGCTCTTGTCCTGCGAGCCTCAGGTCCAGTCCCCTACCCGTTCCCTGACCCTTTGACCCCCAAGTTCATAACTTTCCCTTCAGGCTCAGCAGCACTTAGTCCGGCCCCCACTCTACATTACCTGGCGCGTTGCCTCAACATTGTTCTCTATGTCTATGTCACCCCTCCATGGAGGACACTTTTTGAGGGCAGGGCCTTGTTAGTTGTCTCTGCATCCCCCATGGTACCCAGTTCAGGGCTGGAAGCACCAGGCACTCAGGAACCATGGGTTGAATTGGTGGACACCTGGACCCCAAGTCCACTCTGTGAGGATCCGATACGCCCGGCTTCTCCAGGTCCCAGTCCCACTTCCCTTTCTCTCCCCAAGGCACTGAGGGCCATTCCCCTCAGTGAGCCACCTGGTCCCTGCACTCACTTGCTCCCAAGCATCCTTTCCATGCTCCCGCCTAGGAAAGATTCAGGTCTGAATTCTTCCACTTGCCATTCAAGTCCTGCTCGCCTCTCCAGCCTCTACTCCCTCCCTTTCTCCCCAGCCCTCAGCCACATCACAGGGGTCACCCATCACAGGCCCCTCCCCCGGAGGCTAACAGTGGGGTGGACAGGAGAGGCTGGCCCCCTGGAGCTTACTCCACACCTTCTCTGGTGGCCACTAACGGTCCCCGTGCTCAGCTCTGCCCAGCAACTCTGTGAGTGTGTGTGAGCACACGCAGGCACACGCACAGACACAGAAGAGAGGGAGGATGAGAAAACACTTCTGTCTCCTCCAGAGGCCAATCAGGCTCTTGGAGGCAGATGGGGGTTCTCTCTGTGCCCAATGCCGCTTTCCATCATCCCCTCTGCCTCTCTAGGGCTCCCCTGATGGGAATCATTTGGAAAAACAAATCTCCGACCTTCACAGTTTAACCCTCACCTGCTCCCCCTCAGGGCATGGCCCCGTGGGAGCTGCACTGGGAATGGGACAGCTGGGTCCCCTGACCAAACACCAACCCGCCATGCCCCCGGGGACGTGCTCCTGTCCTGACAACCGTGATTCTGGCTGGCATTTTCTGTGCCCAGCCCTGGCACAGCAGTGGGAGAGGGGGAGCGGTGCCAGGGAGGGGCTCTGCCTTGAAGAGAGAGCCTCTGTGCCTCTTCAGGGATCCCCTACCCCAACCCATTGGCATCATTTTTGTGTTCCTGCCCCAGAAAGCCCCCAGCCTTAGGGCCTCAGGCAGGCACCGGCACTGGCCTCGCTGGATTCCTGAGTCCCCCGGGGCTGGGAGGGAAGCGTGGGTTTGCCAAAGGGACCTCTCTTAATCCTCCTTTTGAATCTTCTCTCCTCAGCTTTTTTCTTCTCCTGACCAATTCCCGGGCACCTCCCCGCCCCCTGCCATGAGGACCCTTTAGTCTCCATGATCTGACCCACCCCAAACCCTCCACATGGGGATTGTCTGGCCTGGGGCACGGAAAGAAAGTAGCTCCAATGGGACATAGCCCTGCAGGCAGGAGCACAGGGCCCCGGGCTAGCTTTCTCTCTTGCTTTCCTGAGCCTTGGTCTCCTGTCTGCACAATGGGTTCCCTCGTGTGATTGTGCCTAGTGCTCGGCTGTCGCTCCATTCTGCCCACTTCCCATTCTGGGGCCCTGGGAACGGCCTCCGAGACCCTCCTTCCTCATTTCGGTTCTCATTCAGGCCCTGCTGGGACCACGATTTCACACGTGTGAACGGTGGGCGTCTGTTCGTCTCTGTGCTTCAAGGTCCTTCTCACCTCCCAGGGAACAGAGAGGCAAACGCCCTCACGGAGGAGCTGACTGCTCTTCCTTACGGGAAGTTCTCCTGAGGGCTAACCGCGGTCCTCACACTGCAGTAGCTAAATAGATACATTCCAGCTGGCAGCTCAGTGGCTTGGCCTCCCTGCTGGCTGGGAGGGAGATTGGGCTCTCGGAGACAGCGGGGGGGACTCACCCTTGAGTGTGTCCAGGCCCGATCCCAAGGACAGGAGGGTCACAAGCAGACATGCCACGCACGGCCGCAGCCCGGGCTCCGCCATTGCCCCAGTCCTGGCTCTCCAGATGGCTCTGGGCAGAAGGGTCTGGAGGGAAACACACGCTTTGGAAGCGAGGAGAAGGGTAGGGACCCAGCCACAAGGAACGCCACACACACGGATATGGCAGGAGCCAGAACGAGGAATGACAGACAGCCACAGAGACACACACACACACACACACACACACACACACACACAGTGACAGGCAGCTAGAAACAGACTCAGCGTGAAGCGGGAGACAGAGGGGAGAGGACAGAGAGGCAGACAGCAGGGGAAGAGACTCAGAAGGGCCCCATGGGGAGATAGATGGTCACACAGGATGCAGAGCAAAAGGGGTCTCAGAGCCCGACCAGCCCCCAGGGGAGAGAAGCCCGAGGAGCGTGCAGCGCAGGGCGGCAGCGGGGGTCCAGGAGCGCCCCGAGAGTCCTTTCTAGGCGCGCTCTCTGCTCCCGAGTGCCCGCTGGCCGCCTCCGCGCCGCGCAGGCAGGGGCTCCGTGCCCCCGCCCCAGGGCCGAAGGGATTGGTTTGTCGGTCTCGGGTCTCTCCCGTCTCTCCGCCCCTCCCGCCAAGCCAAAATATTTAGCCTGACAACTGAGGGGATGGGATGGGGGACAGGTCTGTTGGGGAAATAAGGCCAAAATGCGGGGGAGGGCGCTGGGGTGGGGGGCGTTGGCGAAGAACTGAGTTCCCTGGCGCCGCCCTGAGCTGGGCTGCACCACCCGAGGCGCACAGCCAGCCCTGGGTTCTAGGCTCTGCCATCGGGTATTGGCACCTGCCGGGGGACGTCTGGTAGCTGTGCCCTGGCTGAGCTGAGCTGGCTTGTTGAAACCTGGCGGGAACGTGAATTGTGTGTCTTTAATATGAAAGCCCTTGGCCTCTCCTAGCTCCCCCCCTCCCCAGCATCCCTGGAGGCCTCCGTCCCAGCCACAGCCACATCCCTGGTCCTGGCCACTGTCCCCTTGGAGGGAGCAACCTCCCTGAGGGGCCCTGCCTCTGTCCTTGACTTCTTGAATCCAGGCTGCTCGGTTGGCCTGGTTTGTCTGCGCGTCCCCACCTCAGGGAATGGGGGTGGGGGGTGTGGAAGCACAGAGGGGGCGGTCTGTGCCGGGTTCTGGAGAAGAGAGCCGGCACTGCTCTTCCCCTGGAGCACTTGTCTGCACGCCCCCGCCTCCCCCCACCCCGCCCCCGTCCCTCTCATCCTTTTCCTTTCCGCGGCTCTTGAGGCCACGAAGGTGGACGGGGTGTGGGGCCCCAGGGGCTTTCCAGGTGCGCGGCCTCCTAAGACCCACGGGTCCCGGCTTCACCCGCCGGCCGCTCCCGCGCCCAAGGAGCTAAGAGAAGATCTATTAATTTCCCCGTGCAAAGATCGATGCTCTTGTCGGGGTGGCGATCGATGCCTGTCCAAGTTGGACCTGCCCGGCCTGGGGCCAGCGCTGGCCAGCCGGGGTCTGGGGTGATGCTGGGTCCGAAGGCGCAGCGCAGGGGAGTGGAGAGGGGGACGCCGCAGGCCGCACCCCCGCCCAGCCCCGGCGGAGCGCACACCTTGGCGCGCTGGCCTCTTGCGCCCCCCTGTGGCCTCTGCTGGAAACGGGCATCTCCGCTCTCTGGTCTCCCTTCTCCGGCTTTTGGGGCTACACCTTCTCTTTCCTCTTGACTCTTGATTTTTTCCTTCTCGAGGTCCTGCATGTGGTCGTATTGGGGCCCCTTCCCTTTTCTTCCCTGGGGCATAGTGTGTGTTTCACCTGATTTACCCTGAGTGACATCGCACCCTCCCACAGGCACGGGCGCCGTGGGGAGGGAGAGGGGAGACCCGGGCCGGCTAGGATGACCTGGATGGCCACCTTCTCCGGGCTCAGCCCCCTTCCCTCCCCCTAAATGCAGCTGCTGGAGGCTGGGAGACATAACGGATCCACTTCCCAGCTCCCCACCCTCTGGGGCGATGGCCCTCCGCGTCTCCCGGAGCTGGAGGGGTCTTGGGGGTGAAAGCTAGCGCCCCCCCAAGGGGTGGGGACCGAGTTGGGGGCTCAGCAGAGGTGGGGGAGGGGTGCGGGCAGAGGGGGCGGGGCCGGGCGGGGCCGCTGGCTCCGCCCTTTCCTGGCGGCTGGGCTTTAACGCCGCCCCGCGCACGTGTCCGGAGCCGGCGGCCGCGGCGGAGCGCACTGAGCGCACTGACGGCGGCACTGACGGCGGCGGCCCCGAGGCGGGCGAGGCGGGCGAGGCGGGCGCCGCCGGATGCTGCGAGGCGGACGGCGCGGGCAGCTCCGCGGGCACTGCCCAGCCATGGGCCCGGGCCGCCTGCTGGTCTGGCTGCTGCTGGCATCCGCGGGCGCTGCCCCCTGCCCCGAAGTCTGCTGCCGCCTCAGCCCTTCGGTGCTGCGCTGCAGCGGGGCGGGGGCCCTGGACAGCCTCCGCCGCCTGCGGGACCCCGAGAGGCTGGCCGAGCTGTGAGTGCGGGGCGGGCGGGAGGGCGCGGGGACCAGCGAGCAGAGCTGAGCCCTGAGGGTGCGGACTCGCGGCGGGACGACGGGCGGGCAGGTGCATGCGGCAGGAGGCTGCACCCGGATTCTCCTCCCGCGCCCGATCCTCCTCCCGCACTCCGGTCCTCCTCCCGTGCCCCGGTCCTCCTCCTGCGCCCTAACCTCCTCCCGCGCCCCGGTCCTCCTCCTGCGCCCCATCCCCTTACTGCGCCCCGGTCCTCCTCCTGCGCCCCATCCCCTTACTGCGCCCCGGTCCTCCTCCCGCGCCCCGTCCTCCTGCGCCGCCGCTGCCGCGCTGTTGGAAACTACAGTTACCGCCTGGACTTTAGTGCTCAGGGCAGCTGGACGCTGGCTTTGGGGGACTAAGGGGAATCTCCGCGGACCAGGTCTGAGAGAGCCCAGCCTTTTGGGCACTCTTACTGCCTTATCCTCTCCCCAGGAGGGAGCTGTCCCCCACCCTTCCCTCGTCAGGACCCGCAGCCCGCACCCCTTCCGTCTGGAACTGGGGTTTGAACTGGGAGGTGGTGAGGAGCCAGAGCTTGGGGGGGGGGGCTTTCTTCTCCCCATGTCCCCATGGTTCCTCGGTTTGGATGTAGGAAATGAGGGGCCCCCCCACCCCTTTCCTGGCTTCTCTCCCCCCACACCCCTCTCCCTGTCCACCCTGGTCTCCCTACTTGGGACAGGAAGTCAGGGCCCTTGCTGAGAGACTCCCCTTCCTCAGGGACCAGCCCTGGGAGGGATCTCCAGCCGTCTGCAGCAATGGTCACAAAATACCCAAGCATCCTCGCCCCAAGGCTCAGGGGTTGAGCGTTCACCTAAGAACCAGGAGGTGGCGGTTCCACTCCAGGTCATGACACATGCCTGGGTTGTGGGCTCAACCTCCATTGTGGGGCGTGTAGGAGGCAGCCGGTCCATGATTCTCTCATCATTGATGTTTCTCTCTCTCTCTCTCTCTCTCTCTCTCTCTCTCTCTCTCTCTCCCTCTCCCTTCCTCTCTGCAGTCAATAAAAAAAATATATATATATATTTTAAAATACTCAAGTACTTTTTAGCAGCTGGCGAAACCTATGGGAGTGTTTGTAGTAATTGGCTTAGAGGTACTCAAGCACACACGGTGATGGCTGGAAAATACTTGAGTATTCTGTGTGGCTGGCGGGGCCGGCAAGGCGCAGGAGAGAGGAGGACCTGCTAGGAAATCCTTCTCCTGTGGCTTGGGGCTGAGCGGGTGGCCGGGAGGCTGGCCGGACAGGCCTGGGAGGTGTCTGAGTCAGGGGCCACCCCTGACTGGAGGTTACTTGAGCAGCCTGAGGTCATTGGCACGGAGTTACTCCGGTGTCCTGTGATTAATGGGAAGGTGCTCCATCTCTCTCATGGCCCCAGGGAGACCGGGAGGAGAAGAGATGGCCTTGTCTTGGTCTGGGCCTTGGTCTCGGCGTCATGGGAGGGGACATGAGACCCAGGCTGCCACCCCCAGGCCCTCCCATTCATCACCCTGGGCCTTCCAACCAGGACCCAGGCTCCTGAGTGTTTCCCATCGGAGCTCTCATTTCTCCCTTCCCTCCCGAGCCCCCAGTGGGTCCAGCCTGGGAGCGAGGGGCCTGGACAGACTGGGGCTGGGGCGTAGGAGGCCTGCAGGCTGGTGAGCCGAGATTTCTCATCTCTGGGTGGGGCGGCAGCCTGACCCCCTGCCTCCGCCTGCAGGGTCCCCTCCTCCTCCATCACTGGCAGAGCTAACGAGGAGATAATGGACTTGAAGAGACAGATTGATTATGAACCCAAGCGAATGAGGCAGCGTTGAGCACGCTGCGTTCTCACCCCTCCCTGGGCCCACACAGCTCCCAGCGCTCTGGGCAGGGACCACGCTCCCTCAGTCGCCGGAGTATACACCCTGGGCTTCAGGGGACTGTCTGCTGGGACCAGGGCTGGGAAGGGGAGAGGTAGACAGAGTCACTCGGGCTCACCCTGGTTCCCACGACTTAGGGGAAGTCAGAGGGTAGAGGGGGAGACTTCTGTGACAGGCAGTGAGTCAGGGGCTCCCGGCGTGTGTGTGGGTGGGGGTTCGCCACCGTGCCCAGCCGAGTTCCCAGGAACTCCCTGGCATGTCAATGCAGAGGCTGGGCAGTGCCCAGGGCACCAGCTTTCCCCCACCTGGCATGCCTGCTCTTCCTCCTTCCTTTCTCATATCCCTATCGAGCTTTCTCTGGCTCTGTCTTTATCTGTCTGACTCTCTGTCTCCCTTCTCTCTGTCTCCCTTCTCTCTGTCTCTCTGTCTCTGTCTCTGTCTCTCTCTCTCTCTTTCCTCCTCTCTCTCTTTCCTCCTCTCTCTCTCTCCTCTCTCTCTCTTCTCTCTCTCTCTCTCTCTCTCTCTCTCTCTCTCTCTCTCTCTCCCCCCCCCATCTCTTCCTATCAGTTTCTCTTTCTCAGTGTCTTTTTTTCACTCTTTCTGTTTGCTTTTCTGCCCGCCCCCCTCCTCACTCACTGTGTAAGCCAGCCCGTCCAAGCCCCTTCACCACTGATTCTGACCCACCCTCTCACTGCCCGCTCCTCCTTCCTAGGTCCCTCCTGGGGCAGGGAGGGGTTCAAGATGTCTCTGTCAGACAGTCTTCGTGCCTCTGCTCGCTCCGCTGGGAGGTGGCGGGAGGGAGTAGGGATCTTTGCTTGAGTGTGGAGAAGGGCCAGGGGCTTTGAGGGGGAGGGTGGTGGTGGTGGTGGTGTGTGTGTGTGTGTGAGGGGGTGTGGGTGAGCGGGTGTGTTTGGGCACACCTATCTGCTGCCCATGAGGCATCCTCTATGCTCAGTGAGCCTGGGCCCCTTATGGAGGCCAGTGTTTCCGCCTGGCCCCAGTGTGGGCATGGGCAGGAGAGGCTCGGTGTAAAATAGCAGGATGCCAAGCCGAGAATGGACTTGTGTGTGCTTATGAGTGTGAGGATGCACATACATTCTCACACACGTGTACGTGTGCATGAGAGAGACATGTATCTCTGTGTCCATGTGTGAGGGTATGAGCATACCCATGTGCACATCTGTGGGTTCAGGCATGCCTGTGTGTGACAAGGTGCATATATGTATGCCTCTGTGTGTATGTGTCCATGTCTGCACATGCACATGTACATGAGAAATGAGGGTGTGCATGTGTGATGGTGTGAGGATGCATGCATACTGTTCATGTGTGACTTTTGTGAGGAGGTGTGTGCCTGTGCATGTGTGTATGCAGGTGTGGGTGCGTGCCGGTGCCTGTGTGTGTGTAAATGGGTCTGTGCTTGCACACAGGTGTGTGTGTGGTTGTGAGAGAGGCGTGGGCGGGTGTGGGGGCTGAGGGTGGGTCTGGCCGCCGGTGACTCCCACCCCTCTCCCCACAGCTACATTGAGGATGAGCCGCATCTGCAGCGCCTGGAGCTCAACCACCTGCGGGGCCTGGGGGAGCTGAGGAACCTGTGAGGAGCGGGGCTGCGGGTCAGGGCTCAGTGCACAGCCTGTGGGGCCGAAGGGCGTGGGCGCCAGGGTCCCAGGGGCCTGGGAGGACCCGAGAGGCGGAGGCCTGAGGGGCTGGAGGAGGTCAGAGAGCACGGGGGTCCGGCCGCTGAGGACGCTGTGAGGGGCAGGGGCGGGGCCAGGCTCAGCACGGGGCTGGGGCGGGGGCTGTCGTGGGCAGAGATGCAGGACCAGAGCTGACCCTCTGCCCTTCCCAGCACCATCGTGAACAGCGGTCTCCGCCACGTGGAGCCAGACGCCTTCCACTGCACCCCCCGGCTCCGACGCCTGTGAGTGCCCGGCTGGCAGCGGGGGGGAGGCCGCCCAGACGTGGCAGCGAGTGGGCTGGGCCCTCCCCAGGGACCCGCAGAGGCAGGCTCCGGCCTGGGCTTCTCCTCCGCTTCAGGGATGGCAGTGCTCTCCCTCCCCCCTGAGCCAGAGGCCCTTCTGGCGTCTCACCTCCGTGCTTCCTGCCACAGGAGCAGCCTCCGAGGGGCCTGCCCCATGCTTCTCTTCGCAGAGTTCAGATCCCCCTGAACTGGGGAGCACGGGGCAGGAGCAGGACCTGGGGTGTGGCTGGGACTCCATCATCACCCTCCCCACGCCTGGGGGTCCCCGCTCAGAGCAGGGCAGGGAAGGGCGGGCGGAGAGATGCTGAAGGAGAGACCCTTGGTGTCCCTGACCGCCCCTCCCCGAGGGCACGAAGCCAGCAGCTTCCCCCTCACGGGCAGACGGAGAGAGGGGAGGGTGGTGGGACCTGCCAACCACACGGCTGTGCCAGGTCCTCTAAGCTCTCTGCTGTGTCCAGCGATTTCACAACAGTAACAACAAACATAAGGCGATGCTGACTACGTCCCGGGGCCTCAGTTAATAAATAGTGTGTGCCTCCAACACTTAAATCAGTGACTCTGCATCTGGACAGAGTGTCACCCCCACTTTTAAAAGAGGTTCTGAGGCTCGGGGGTTAGCGTTCTGGGCTGAGGTCACACCGCTGTAAGGGGAGGACAGACGCACCCTCAGCTCTGTGCTGCCAGAGTGGGGAGGCTTTCTGACCCCCGTGTGGTGGTGCCCCTCTGACCCGGCCCCCCAGACTGCAGGCCAGCCAGGCAAGGAGAGCTCAGGGCAGGCCCGCCGAGGCAGAAGGTCCCAGGAGGGGCAGGAGCATTCTCATGGGTGCTGGTTGGTGCCCGGAGCTCCTAACCCAGCTTCCTGTGTGGCTGGAGCTGGCCCCCCCAGCTCACCTTCTCTGTCTCTACAGCAAGGGGCTGGGGGCCTGGGAGTCTGGGGCCCTGGGAGCCCTCTCAGTGTTTCTGTAAGTCCCTGAGGAGGAATGTGGGGGGGACCTGAGGAAGCACTCTGAAACCCTTGTCATCCGGTAGGGGGCGTGAGAGTGTGGGAGCCCAGGCCCCCCGCCCGCACCCCCATCCCCTCCGTCCTGGGCTCTGGGGGAGAGAGCACAGATGGAGCCCCTCCCCCAGCTGGAGCCTCAGCACTCTGCCAGCTGGGGCCAAGGGTGGGGAGGCAGGAGCAGCTGTTCTCTGGATGTCCCCCCCTGGAGTCTGGGGAGGGGGTTAAGTGGGGTGAGCTCTTGTTCCAGGAAGACGAAGGGTACTCCAAGAGCCTAACCTGTCCCCCCACCCCACCCCCAAGGCCTCCCTGCTGGGCTGGGCTCCCGGGCCCCGCCCCTCCCTCGCTCAGCTGGGTCGGAGGGAGGTCATCGCTCACCAGGGTCTGTCTTTCTGTCTCAACTCCCGCAGGAATCTCTCCTTCAATGCTCTGGACTCTCTCTCCTGGAAAACCGTCCAGGGCCTCTCCTTACAGGAACTGTGAGTGTGGGGCTTCCAGGGGCAAGAGCAGCGTGTGCGTGTGCGTGTGTGTGTGTGTGTGTGTGTATACGTGTGTGCGTGCGTGCGTGTGTGTGTGTGTGTGTGTGTGAGATACTATGTCACTGTGTCTGAGGGGCTTTGGGGACTCCCTGTCTGTCTGTGCGCTGAGCCTGGGGACTCTGCATGCCTGTGAACCTCCCATAAAACAGGCTGCAGGCCTGCCCCGTGAGGGGCTTACTGCCTTGGGGGGTGGCTGGGGGTGGGGTGAGGTTCTGGCCTGGACAACGGCTTCTGTGTGTGCCCAGGAGCTGCCAGCTGCCTGTGCGATGGTGTGGGTGGCACAGCAGAGAGCCTCCTGTCTGGGTGCACCTAGGCCTCTGGGCCTCCCCAGGAGGCAGTGTCCTTCCCTCCTTGTCACCTTCCCTCCGCCCCCGGGGGAGCCGGGGGTCAGGGAACGCCATGGGCCATGGGCACCTGTCTGGCTCTCTGCGTTCTGTTCCTTTCCATGTCTTGTTACTGGTGGGTGAGAGGGACTGCTCTGTCCACACGCCTTCCCCTCTAGACAGTCCACGCTGCTAACTGCACTGCCTCTTACTGTGGGCTCCAGTCAGGTGGCTCTCAGCCCCCCCCCCCCCCGCCCCTGACTCTCTCGGTGTCCCCTGCACCCCCAGAGCCCTGTCTGGGAACCCTCTGCGCTGCTCCTGTGCCCTGCGCTGGCTGCAGCGCTGGGAGGAGGAGGGGCTGGGCGGCGTCCAGGAGCTGCAGTGTCTCGGGCCGGAGCCCTCTGCCCTCATGTCCAACACCAGCTGCGGTAGGTGCCGGCGGCGGCGGCTCTGGGCTGGGACAGAGCCACGGGCTTGGGAAGAGGGCACAGAGAGGAGCTGGGGGGTGGGGGGCAGCGCGGAAGGGCGCCTGGGAGATGGGCATTGGCGAGAGCTGGGGAAGCGGAAGGTGGGGGAGCATTGCCGTGGCGGGTGGTGGGTCCCCGAGGAGGTTGGGGAAAGGAGCCGGGCTTTGGGGCCGGTTCTGAGGCCGCCGCCTTCTCTAACACCCCTGGGGCATCCTGGGTGACCAGGCGTGCCCACGCTGAAGGTCCAGGCGCCCAATGCCTCGGTGGACGTGGGGGATGACGTGGTGCTGCAGTGCCAGGTGGAGGGACAGGACGTGACGGAGACCGGCTGGATCGTCACGGAGCTGGAGGAGGTGGCCACGGTGGTGGTGAGCGGCCCCTCCCCGTCCCTCCCCGCTCCCCGGAGTCCTGGGCGGAGCACGGGGGACACAGGCAGGAAGAGGCCACGGAGGAGAAGCACCGAGAGGGCAGCCGATGAACAGGGGTGGTCTAGCTCCACGGGGCTCAGGCTCGTGCTGTGGGGTGGCCCCGGGCCCCACGTGGCCCCGTGGGGACCCCAGGCTATGCTGGAGGCACCTCTACGGGAACATGGTTCTGGCTGCAGGACAGAGGGCTGCAGAGCCCTCGCCTTTGGAGCAGAGGGAGACCCTGCAGACCGTCCCTCCCGCCCACCCCCTTTCTAGGTGAGGAAACCGAGGGCCGTGGAGCGGGCACAGTGTCTGTGGTTCGGTGCCAAGGCCAGGCTAGCTCTTGGGGGACTCCCGGCCTCTTTCTGGAGACTCTGGAAGCAGGTTCTCTTGGGTGTGTGATGAGCATAGAGCAAAGGAGGCTTAGGTCTGGTTCCGGCTCGCTCACTCACTAATTCTTAGAGCGAGTTTCGGAAACATCCCTCAATCCGCCTGCGCTCGGTTTTCTTATCTGTAAATAGAGGAGGTGGACATGATGGCCTTCTGATGTCCTGCCCGCCTCCGGCCACTCTCTGGCTCTTATCGCTGTCGTTCAGATGTGTCTTTGGGCTCCTTCCCAGGCTGGCCCCGTGTCCTCAGGCTGGCGACGGGCACAGCTGACTCAGGGGGCTTGTGGGCAAGGTCAGGAGGGGCCAGCAGTGGGCTGTGCCACCCAGAAAGCTGTCCCCACCTGGAGAGACACACAGGGTCCAGACGGGCCAGTGACCCAGGGGTGTTCAGCGTGGAGGCCCTGACTTTGGGAGGGGAGTCCACTCCAGGGTGGCCGGAGGCCCCTGGAACAGTGTTGCAGGAAGAGGCCCTGGAGCCCTGAGCTTCCAGACATGGGGGAGGGCCCACTAGCCCCTGGTTCTCCTGGGGGAGCAAAGGCCCCAGAGTGACGGGAAGGGGACAGGCAGAGGCGAGAGGTGGGCCAGGACTGTCCGTGGAGATCAGCCATGCTCTGCACAATTCCAGGTTTTTGTTTGTCTCGTTGGGAGATTCACATGTTTGCTATCAGTTATGTTTTCTAGAACCTTCCCGTAGAAAAGTCCCCCCCTGACTGGGTTAAATGGAGGGGCGAGAGGACGGTCACGGTTAGAGGAAGAGGCTGGCAGACGGGAGATAGTGGGCGGTTTGGAGGAGACGGGGCGGGGCGGCAGAGGACACCCGGGCAGGGCTTCTCCCCGCGGGGCCGGGCCGCGGGGCTCGCACACGAGGCCGGCAGCGTTTCCAGCGCCTTTGACCTCCCGTAGCCAACGGAAGCTTCACCTCCTCTAGCTTCACGCAAGGGATTCCACACTAAGGGATTTCCAGACAAGTGAGATTTGCCCACGGCCTCACTTGTTTTCATCATCATTCGGTGAAGATGGCTTTCTAAACCGTCAAAAGATCATTTTGTCTACCTCAGCGTCTCACAAAGCAAGGAAACCATGGCTCAGCAAGATCAGATCACATCACTTCCACATGTTTGTGCTTTCTGAGAAAGAGAACCGGAACCTGGTTCAACCTTTTCATTCATCTATCATCTATCTATCTATCTATCTATCTACTTTTTAAATTATATTTTTATCGCCGAAACCGGTTTGGCTCAGTGGATAGAGCGTCAGCCTGTGGACCAAAAGGTCCCAGGTTTGATTCCGGTCAAGGGAATGTACATTGGTTGCGGGCACATCCCCGGTGTGGGGTGTGCAGGGAGCGGCTGGTCGATGTATTTCTCTCATCTTTCTTTCTTTCTCTCTCTTTCTTTCTTTCTTTCTTTCTTTCTTTCTTTCTTTCTTTCTTTCTTTTTTTTAATATATCTTATTGATTTTGTACAGAGAGGAAGGGAGAAACATAGAGAGTTAGAAACATCGATGAGAGAGAGTCATTGATCAGCTGCCTCTTGCACACCCCCTACTGGGGATATGCCCGCAACCAAGGTACATGCCCTTGACCGGAATCTAACCCGGGACCCTTCAGTCCCCAAGCCGATGCTCTATCCATTGAGCCAAACCGGTCTTGGCTCATCGATGTTTCTAGCTCTCTATCTCTCTTCCTCTCTGTAGAAAATCAATAATATATATATTATTGATTTCAGAGAGGAAGGGAGAGGGGGATAGAGATAGAAGCATCAACAATGAGAGAGAATCATGGGGATCGAGCCTGCAACCTGGGCATGTGCCCTGGCCAGAAATCGTGCCTCCTGGTTCATAGGTCGATGCTCAACTCCTGAGCTGCTGATTCCACCTTTTTTTTTTTTTTAATTTTTTTTATATATATATTTTATTGATTTTTTACAGAGAGGAAGGGAGAGAGATAGAGAGATAGAGAGCTAGAAACGTTGATGAGAGAGAAACATCGACCAGCTGCCTCCTGCACACCCCCCACCGGGGATGTGCCCACAACCAATGTACATACCCTTGACCGGAATCGAACCTGGGACCTTTCAGTCCGCAGACCGACGCTCTACCGCTGAGCCAAACTGGCTTTGGCTGATTCCAGCTTTTGATGCTGATGCAGAATGAAGTCCCTTTGCCTCTCTGACTTCACTCTGTGTCTTCATCTGCCGGAGGAGGGCATGCCGCTGCTGTTGCTTCTAACTGGTGCCCTGCGCCCAGTGCCTCCCTTGTCCCCAACCTCCCCCGGGCTGAGACCAGTGAGTGGGGGTGGCCTGGGGGATGGGGGTGAGTCTGCGGCGAGGTCCTCGTTTGTTCTCCAGCGAGAGGCGTGTGTTTGATACTCGGGATTTGAGACATCCCCTTAGCGGTCCAGAAGGGTGATGTTGGTTCGGGGTATTTTGTGTCTACTTTGAGGTTATTGGTTATGTCCTACATTTTCCAGATCGTTTTAAAATAAATAATCTAGGAGAGCATCTGTACAAGCTCTACAGGAGGAGGCCCATTCTCTGCACGATTCTCTCCCATCCCCCCCTTCCCCCGCCCGGTCGGACCCCTCTCTTTCCATCTGGAGCCAGAGAGGGTCCCTGAAGACACCAGCTCTAGCCCCCACCCTCCAGCCAGAAGCCAGCGATGCTCTTCTTGATTTCCCTGTCTTTCCTGACACAGCAATCTGGGAATGGGACATCGCTGGGGCTGACCCTGGCCGGCGTCACCAGTGACCTCAATCGGAAGAACGTGACGTGCTGGGCGGAGAACGAGGTGGGCCGGGCCGAAGTCTCCGTCCAGGTCAACGTCTCCTGTGAGTCCCGGGGGCCGCCCGTACCCACCCTCCCCTCCTCCCCCGGAAAGAAGGCAGAGGGCGGGAGGGCTGGGGAAAGGGGTGAGATGTGTCTCCACAGCTGCTCCTTCCCAGCTGTTTCCAGGTTCCCATGAAAACCTGATCCTGTGGGGGAGAGCCTGGGGGCCCATCAAGGCCAGAGGGAGGGAGAGGGATTTCTTCTTGGCCCCGTGCCCGAGCCTCGCTACCTGAGGTCATCAGCTGTTCTCCCCGCTCCACTGTAGTTCGTCATGCCTGACCCTCCGTAGGACTCTGACTCTACGAACTAGTTTCAAGAGAAGCGATTGCCCTTCCCAGTTCCTCTCTAGGCTCACTGCCTAATTCCGCTAGGCCTGCCAATAGGTTATTCTATATCTTCTACTTTATGGAACTTTTCTTTTCATCTGAAATGTAACATACACAGATCACCGCATAAAACCTCTACCCTTTAAGCAATAATTATTCTTTTTTAAAAACATATATTTTATTGATTTTTTTTTTTACAGAGAGGAAGGGACAGGGATCGAGAGCTAAAGACATTGATGAGAGAGAAACTTGATTACACTTATCCAAAAGACACCATGTTTAATTTCCATAAGCTGGAACCCCCTCCTCTCTGGGGCTATTGTTCATTTATGTTAGGCCCCCCACTTGGCCTCCTAATGTCATACACTTGCTACCTGATTTGTTTAAGATTCACTGTCAACGCCCTCCCACCCCACCAGCCCCTGCCCATCAGGCCATGCTGGGTGCCCTCCAGCTGCGCCCCGGACCTCTCACCGGCCCTGTCTCTGGCCCGCAGTCCCGGCCAGCGTGCAGCTGCAAAAGGCGGTGGAGCTGCATCACTGGTGCATCCCCTTCTCGGTGGACGGGCAGCCGGCCCCCTCTCTCCGCTGGCTCTTCAACGGCTCCGTGCTCAACGAGACCAGCTTCATCTTCACCGAGTTCCTGGAGCCGGCCGTCAACGAGACCGTGAGACATGGGTGCCTGCGCCTCAACCAGCCCACCCACGTCAACAACGGCAAATACACGCTGCTGGCCACCAACCCACTGGGCCAGGCCTCGGACTCCGTCTTGGTCACGTTCATGGACAACCCTTTCGAGTTCAACCCCGAGGACCCCATCCCTGGTACGAGGGCCACCCTGAACCCTGCCCCCTCCCCGGGCTCCCCCTGGGTCCACAGCCTGGTGTCTGCTGTGATCCTGGCCCTAGAAGTCAGAGAGCCCCATCCCGGACGGAAAAGAGTGGGGTTCTGTTCTCCAGCTTTGTGCGGCCTCCATGCCCCTGCCTCCTCCCTGTCCCAGGAGCCCTGAGGCCCTGGACCGCCCCATTCCCGCGGGTGGGCTGAGAGAGCCACCCCCATCCCACCCGCAGCCCCAAAGGCCTGGGGTCTGATCCCACAAGCCACTCCCCGGGGGTCCCTCCCATCAAGCCCCAAGGGGGTAGGGGACCCGCTGCTCTCCCCCCCCCGCATTTGACTGCTCTCTCTCCTCCCTCCCGCTGCAGTGTCCTTCTCGCCAGTGGGTGAGTAACCCAGGCTGGAAGCGGGTTCTGTCTAGTCCCTGGAGCCAAGCTTGGGGCAGAGGGTACAGTTAACCTGATCCCCAAGGGGTCAGCCAGGGCCGGGGGTGGGGGTGGGGGTGGGGATGGGGTGGGGGAGTTGCTGGAGGACACACAGCCTGTGCCCGGGCCACCTTCCCGCTCTGTCCCCGCAGACACGAACAGCACGGTGGGAGACCCGGTGGAGAAGAAGGACGAGGTGCCGTTCGGGGTGAGCATGGGACGTGCGAGCTTGTCCACTTGGGGTTTGGGGGCAGGGCTCAGCGGCACGTCCCTTCCGCTCAGAGAACGGGGAGCACCAGAGTCCGGCCTGCACTCGGTCACCCACTCTCACAGCCACAGCCTTGGCCCCGGGGGAGGCGGAGGCAGGTCTGGGGGCCCGGCTCCAGGCTCCTGTGCAGGAGGGAGACACAGTTGGCTGTGGGGGGGGCTCTTCGAGGTGGAGAGAAGCCCTGGATCTCACCGCCTCACCCCACAGGTCTCCGTGGCCGTGGGCCTGGCGGTCTTCGCCTGCCTCTTCGTCTCTGCGCTGTTCCTCGTGCTCAACAAATGCGGACGGAGGAACAAGTTTGGGATCAACCGTGAGTGGAGGGGCTGCGGAAGGGCTGTCTGTCTGTCCCACTGGCTCTGTTTCCTGCCAGCGCTTCCTGCCTCTGTCCTCTGTGGGGTGGGGCGGTGGGCTCACGGTGTGCAGGGGCTGTGGGGGGGTATGAGGGCCCGGCGGTGGGCGGTGCCTGTGAGTGTGCCGGGCTGGTGCTGGTAGTTCCAGAAGCAGCAGATGCTAATTGGTGGCTGGATGGTAGTCAAACGCTAAGTGGGTCTGGGAGGTCTGAGCTCGGGGGGTGGGGGCAGGGGGAGAGTTCTTTGGGGGCCCCCCGGGGCCTGGGGTTGGACAGGAGCCAGACAGAGAGAGGCCATCATGGCTCTCCTTCTCCCTGCTGGCTGTCCTGCTTTCCGGCTCCTCCTTCCTCCCCCTGCGAGTGACAAGGAGGGGCCACCTGACTCTGTGACCTGTGGCCGTGTCTCCCTCCCAGGCCCCGCGGTGCTGGCTCCCGAAGACGGACTGGCCATGTCCCTGCACTTCATGACGTTGGGGGGCAGCTCCTTGTCCCCCACTGAGGGCAAAGGCTCCGGGCTGCAAGGCCACATCATCGAGAACCCGCAGTACTTCAGTGACGCCTGTGAGGGCCATGCTGGGGCAGGGCGGGGCAAGCTTACGCGCATGGCCATGTCCAGAAGCCCCTGCGTCATCACCTTTCCTACCCCAGACCTGAACAAGCCATCCCTTCCACCACCACCCCCGTCTCTTCCATCACCACCCCGTCTCCTCTATCACCACCCCATCTCCTCCATCACCACCCCCGTCTCCTCCATCACCACCCCATCTCCTCCATCACCACCCAGTCTCCTCCATCACCACCCCCGTCTCCTCCATCACCACCCCCGTCTCCTTCACCACCACCCCGTCTCCTCCATCACCACCCCCGTCTACACCACCACCACCCCGTCTCCTCCATCACCACCCCCGTCTCCTCCATCACCACCCCCGTCTCCTCCATCACCACCCCCATCTCCTCCATCACCACCCAGTCTCCTCCATCACCACCCCCGTCTCCTCCATCACCACCCCCGTCTCCTCCATCACCACCCCCATCTCCTCCATCACCACTCCGTCTCCTCCATCACCACCCCCATCTCCTCCATCACCACTCCGTCTCCTCCATCACCACCCCCGTCTCCTCCATCACCACCCCCGTCTCCTCCATCACCACCCCCATCTCCTCCATCACCACCCAGTCTCCTCCATCACCACCCCCGTCTCCTCCATCACCACCCCCGTCTCCTCCATCACCACCCCCGTCTCCTCCATCACCACCCCCGTCTCCTCCATCACCACTCCGTCTCCTCCATCACCACCCCCGTCTCCTCCATCACCACCCCGTCTCCTCCATCACCACCCCGTCTCCTCCATCACCACCCCCGTCTACACCACCACCACCCCGTCTCCTCCATCACCACCCCCTCTCACCACAGCATGGGGCTTGGTGAAGGGGTGACGGCTCAGTGCCAGTCCCATCGGCCCCCTGGGTGGGTGCCCGTGTGCTGTGCACCCCCGTCCTGGCCCCTCCCCGTCCTCCCCACGACTGGGCTCCCGTCTGACCCTGCGAGCCGCCCCCAGGTGTCTGTCACATCAAGCGCCGGGACATCGTCCTCAAGTGGGAGCTGGGCGAGGGCGCCTTCGGGAAGGTCTTCCTGGCGGATTGCCACAACCTGCTGCCGGAGCAGGACAAGACGCCCGTGGCCGTGAAGGTGAGGCCTGGGCACTGCCCCGGGACGGGGAGCTCAGCCGGGGAGCCCGCATTGTGACCCCTGCCCGTCCCCCGCCCCAGGTGCTGAAGGAGGTGTCCGAGAGCGCGCGCCAGGACTTCCAGCGCGAGGCCGAGCTGCTCACCGTGCTGCAGCACCAGCACATCGTGCGCTTCTTCGGCGTCTGCACCGAGGGCCGCCCGCTGCTCATGGTCTTCGAGTACATGCGGCACGGCGACCTCAACCGCTTCCTCCGGTACGGCCCTGCCCCCGCCCTGGACCCGGCCCCCCGCCCCCGCCCTGCCCCCGCCCTGCCCCCGGCCCGGCCCCCGGACCCCGCCCTGCCCCCCCGGCCTGGACCTGGCCCCCGGCCCCGCCCTGCCCCCCCCCCGCCCTGGACCCGGCCTGGCCCCCAGCCCCCGCCCTGTCCCCGGCCTGGCCCCCGGCCCCCGCCCCCGCCCTGCCCCCAGCCTGGCCCCCAGCCCCCGCCCTGTCCCCGGCCTGGCCCCCGGCCCCCCGCCCCCGCCCCAGCCCTGGCCCCGCAAAGGCCTGGACCTGGCCCCCGGCCCCCGGCCCCCGCCCTGGACCCGGCCCCCTGCCCCCGCCCTGCCCCTGGCCTGGACCCGGTCCCCGGCCCCCACCCTGCCCCCGGCCCCCCGCCCCCGCCCTGCCCCCGCCCTGCCCCCGGCCCGGCCCCCGGACCCCGCCCTGCCCCCCGGCCTGGACCTGGCCCCCGCCCCCGCCCTGCCCCCGCCCTGCCCCAGCCCTGGCCCCGCGTCGGCCTGGACCCGGCCCCCGGCCCCCGCCCTGGACCCGGCCTGGCCCCCAGCCCCCGCCCTGTCCCCTGCCTGGCCCCCGGCCCCCGCCCCCGCCCTGCCCCCAGCCTGGCCCCCAGCCCCCGCCCTGTCCCCGGCCTGGCCCCCGGCCCCCCGCCCCCGCCCCAGCCCTGGCCCCGCGCAGGCCTGGACCCGGCCCCCTGCCCCCGCCCTGCCCCTGGCCTGGACCCGGTCCCCGGCCCCCACCCTGCCCCCGGCCCCCCACCCCCGCCCCCCACCCCTGCCTCAGCCCTGGCCCCGCGCTGGCCTGGACCTGGTCACTGGCCCCCCCCCCCGGTCCCCGGCCCCTGGCCCCCTACCCAGTCCCCGGCCCCTGGCACCCCTCCTCGGTCCCCGGTCCCCGGCTCCCCAACCCGGCCCCCACCCTGACCCTCGGTCCCAGCCCCTGCCCCGGCCCTGGCCCCGCGCCAGCCTGGACCTGGACCTGGCCCCTGGCCCCTGGCCCCCGGCCCCCTCCCTGGGCCCCGGCCCCCTCTCTGGCTCCCAGCCTCCGGCCCGGCCCCCCACCCCGGGCCCCTCCCCGGGCCCCAACCCCGGCCCCGCGCCGGCCTGGACCTGGCCCCCGGCCCCAGCCCCCAACCCCCGCCCAGCGCCGGCCCCCGACCCCTGCCCTGACCCCAGGCCCCAGCCCCTGCCCCAGTCCCTGGCCCCCAGCTCCCGGCCTCCACCCCAGGCCCCGGCCCTGGCCCCCAGCCCCCGGCCCAGCGCCAGCCCCAGCCCCCGACCCCTGCCCTGACCCCCGGCCCCAGCCCCTGCCCCGGCCCCTGGCCCCCGGCTCCCACCTCGACCCCCGGCCCCCGGCCCCCAGCCCTGAGCCCTTGTCCCTTCCCAGCAAGCACAATCTTGCTTGTCTGTTGACCTGAGGGGGACACCAAGAAGCAGCGGGAAGACACGACCCCTGACCTTAAGGAGGCAGAGGGTGACTATGAGGACAGTCCATGCAAAGGAGGGGAGTCGGGGGGCTGCCCCGGCAGGAGTCATGCGCTAAAACTTGGGGGGTGAGCCTTGCAGGGGTGCATGTGCGTGTGGCCCGCCGCGGCCACACCTGTGAGATGGCAGCCGAGGTAACGGCTACCACAGCAGCAGCCTTCATTCCTCAGGCCCTCCCGCGGTCCAGCATTTACAGGCCATTCCCAACGAGCCATTCCCATACCTGCATCATAATGTATATTTATTGTCCATGGTCGCCAAGCATGCATTGCCATTTATACTTAAAGTTATCAAAAAATTCATTTCTTTGGCTTCGACCAGAACAACTCTGGATCTGTGCACTAATTTGAGCTGATCGTTTGAATAGCTTCAAGAATTGCACCCATTTCACAGAGGAGGCTTAGAGAGGCTCAGGGACTCGCCCAAGGGCACACAGGTAGTAACTGGCTGGGGGAGATAGGCCCCAGGCAGAGCCCTGCTGTTAGCCCCGATGGTGCGCACCTTTCTGACGAAGTAAATGGTAGCCTGGTCTGTGGGAGGGGCGGTGGGAGTCAGGGAGAGGCGGGGCCAGGAATCCGCTGTGACTCACTAGCTGAGCCTTCTTTGTCAAGCAGCTTTCTCCTCGGACCGGGCCGGTTGCTCCGGATGAGAATGCTTGTGTGGTTTTTAGGGGACGGTCCTGCTTTGGTCCCCAAACAGTCTCCCGGGAAGGATGGGTCACCCACGCAATGGGGCTGCAGTCAGCTGGGGGAGGCCTGGGAGCTGCCCCTGTGGGTGGGGAGGAGCCACTGAGGGGAGGGCAGGAGGGGGCGCGGCCAGACCTGAGGTGGAGGTGGAGACGACTGGCTCGGAGGAAGAGAGGAGAGGAGCGGGAGAGGAGCCCTTGCTCACAGGACACGGTGGGCCCAGTGCTGGGCCCAGGGAGGCAGCCGCCGTCGGGGCCCAGGCCGGGGAGAAGCAGCCCTCAGGGTTGGCTGGAGCACAGGGGGAGCCAAAGGAAGGGATCGGAAGTTCCTAACGCGTCTGGAAGACTTCCTGTAGGAGGGGCCGTGTGCTCCTCCTGGTCTCTGGGCCTTCGTACTTGCAGTTCCCTCTGCCTGGCACCGGGCTGCCCTCCCAGTCACTGCAGCCCCCCGCAGCTTACCCGCCTCTGTTCCTCAGGGCTGGAGTTTCCGTTTAGATGTCTCTGCCTCCAGGAAGCCTTCCTTGACTTCCTCCTTTCCTACCCTGAGGGCTGACCAGGTGCCCCCTGCACACTCCATCCCACTCTCCATTGCAGCTCCAGTGCAAAGCACACCGGAGATATTTAATAAATATCTGGAATAAACAAAGAAATTAACAGATAAGGAGGAAGCTGGCCAGTAGGAAAGGGTGGTGTTGTCAAAGCCATCAGCTCAGGCCAAGGTGCAGAAGGAGGAATATTGGGGAACAGAATGAGTGGCCCCTGTGGGGAGGAGGCGGGATGCTGGAGACCTTTGGAGGGAAGGAGACCTCTCGGGAATGGCTGGATACGGGGGCAAAGGTGAGAGAGACGGGAATCCTGGAGGGCTCCCGGCGCAGAGCTGGGCGGGAGATCAGCACCAGTGGGCAGCTGCCTGCAGGGGCAGGAGGCAGGCATCAGTGTGGGCAGCGTGGGCACTGGTAGAAGCAGTGTGGGCACCCCTGCACCCCTGTCCCTTCAGACAGCTGCCTCTCCTGTTCTTCCACCTTTTCCCGCCCCCTGAGTCCCCTCCCCCTGAGTCCCCTCCCACATGCACCCCAGCTCCCCAGATTCCCCTTCCCCGGGCCCCTGGGGGTCCTCTCCTCCCAGCCCACCCCTCCCTGGCTCTTCTGCAGGTCCCACGGGCCCGACGCCAAGCTGCTGGCGGGCGGGGAGGACGTGGCCCCGGGCCGCCTGGGCCTGGGGCAGCTGCTGGCCGTGGCCAGCCAGGTGGCCGCGGGGATGGTGTACCTGGCCGGCCTGCACTTCGTGCACCGGGACCTGGCCACGCGCAACTGCCTGGTGGGGCAGGGCCTGGTGGTGAAGATCGGCGATTTCGGCATGAGCAGGGACATCTACAGCACCGACTACTACCGCGTAAGGGCCCTGGGTCCCGTCCTGCCCCAGCGTCCAGCCAAACCTCCGCTCCCAGCTGCTCGGCCGCCCGGAGCCTGCCCCCCAGGCCGCCCTCCTCCTCCTGGGCCTGGCACCGGGTCTGAGTCTCTCCGGGCTCTCGGTGGAGGGGTGGGGGCTGTGCTGGCTCCCCAGGGAGGGCAGCTTAAAGAGGGTGGACCCCTAGAGGAGCGGGATGGGAGCCTGGAGGGACGGAAAGGCTCCCCTGTGTGGGAGAGGGGGGGCTGGAGTACCCCGTGGAGGTAATGGCCCCCTGTCCCCACCGCCCAGGTGGGGGGCCGCACCATGCTGCCCATCCGCTGGATGCCGCCCGAGAGCATCCTCTACCGCAAGTTCACCACCGAGAGCGACGTGTGGAGCTTCGGCGTGCTGCTCTGGGAGATCTTCACCTTCGGCAAGCAGCCCTGGTACCAGCTCTCCAACAGCGAGGTCAGCCTCCCGGCCGCCCTGCCGCGCCCCCTCCCCCCCTTCAGGCCTCTTTGGGATCTCCGTCCCCTCCTGCACCCTCAGCCGGGGCCAGCCTCCCGCCCGCACTGTGCTCCCTCCCCCCCTCCCTGTGCTTTCTTCCCTTCTTCCGGCTCCTGTTCTTGCCTCCGCTCACGGGCTCCTGGGGCCTCTCAGCGCCCCCAGTCCTTCCCTCCCTCCCCCCATCGCCCACGCTGCATCTTACAGACCCCGTAGGCAGGACAGGGTGAAGGGAGAGGCGTGGGAGGAGCACGGCACCACAGGCCCGCCCTGCAGCAGGAAGGCTCCGGTCAGACTGCAGGAGGGACAGTCCCGCCCCCCCCCCCCCTCCACGGCTGACCTCGAGAGCAGCCCCAGGTGTCTGTCTGTCTTCCAGGCCGCCCCGCCCCCTCCTTGGCTCACAGCTGTCAGTTCCATTTCTCCTCCTAATGCAGTCTGCTCCCCGGAGGCCGGAGGGGCGGGGGAGAGGGTTATAGATTTTAATTTTCTCAAGCACTGAGAGAAGGAATGGGATTAGTACCGCCTATAACCCACGTCCTCTAATGGGGGGAGGGGGAAGGGAGGGGGGCTCCAGGCCCTTCCACCGGCTCTCCGCCTCCGGCTCTTCTCCTTTGAGACCCCTCGGCAGCTCGGGCAGTCCCTCCTGGAGTCTAGCTTTGGTCTCCCCTGCCGCAGTTCCCCCTCAGAGGGGCTAGGTCCTGCCGAAGAGAGAAGGAAGTGGGCTCGCCTTCTGCCTTCCAACGCAAGCAGCCATTTCTCAAGGCCCGTCCCAGCGGTCGGCAAACTCATTAGTCCACAGAGCCAACCATCAACCGTGCAACGGCTGAAATTTCTTTTGAGAACCAGATTTTTTTATTTTATTTTTACTATTTTACTGAGTTTTTGCAGAGGAGGAGAGAGGGATAGAGAGTTAGAAACATCCATGAGAGAGAATCATCGACCACCTGCCTCTTGCACACTCCCCACTGGGGATGTACCCGCAACCAAGGTACATGCCCTTGACCGGGATCGAACCCGGGACCTTTCAGTCCGCAGGCCGACGGACGCTCTATCCACTGAGCCAAACCGGTTTTCGGGGAGAACCAGATTTTTTAAACTTAAACTTCTTCGAATGCCATTTCTTCAAAAATAGACTCGCCCAGGCTGTGTATTTTGTGGAAGAGTCACACTCACGGGGCCAAAGAGCCGCGGTTTGCCGACCACGGGCTGCACCGGCAACCCTGCACCGTTTCCTTTTTGCCTCTGGAGCCCAGCGGCAGAGGCCCTGCCTTCCTCCCTTCAGTCCTCAACGCGGGGCTGATGGTGCGGCCGGCGCCTGGCCCCGCCCCTTCCTCAGCCCACCTGGCAGGTCTTCTGAGCGTGATTCTGCCCTTCGGGGAGCAATCCTACCCCAGCCCCGCCTCCCCGGAGCCGGTCCAGCCTCAGTCCCCCCCGCTGGGTCAGAGGAAAGGAATCGGGGTGGGGGGGGGTGACGTTGTCAGTAGCCGAGGCCCAGACATCTCGTAGGGCCTGCTGCAGCTCAGTGCGACGGGGTAGTCCTGGGGCTGGGATGGTCCCCCTCCCCGCCCCACCCAGTGTGCCCTCTCCTCTCTCCTCCGGCGCCCAGGCGATTGAGTGCATCACTCAGGGACGGGAGCTGGAGCGGCCGCGGGCCTGCCCGCCCGAGGTCTACGCCATCATGCAGGGCTGCTGGCAGCGGGAGCCCCAGCAGCGCCACGGCATCAAGGACGTGCACGCCCGGCTGCAAGCCCTGGCCCGGGCGCCGCCCGTCTACCTGGACGTGCTGGGCTAGCGGGCGGGGCTGGCCGGGCGGGGGCCGAGCCGCCGGAAGACCGGGCCTGCCCCGGCCGCCCCAGGGCGGTCTCCGAGCGGCTCTCGCCCCTCAGCATGCGGGAGGGTCCGGGGGTCCGGGAGGGAGGGAGACTTCTGTCTCAGCAATTATATTTATTGCCACCTGGCCGCGTCTCCTGCCAGTTCTTGGGGTGAGGTTGTCCTGGGACTGGGGTATGGGGCTCAGGGAGGGGGTGACTCTCTGGGATCCTCCCCGTCGCTGGTCCCTCTCAGCACCGACCACTCCAGGCAGCTGTTGCCTCCACCTGGGGGCTGCGGCTGCCTCCCAGGCCTGGGCGCCTGGTTTACCTGGAGGCGAGGAGGCCTCAGGTGAAGCCCGTCAGGTGTCAGACCCTGATTGCCTGTCTCCGTGCTCCCCGCTCAGGGGCGGGGGCTGCAGTGGGAGGGGTGGGAGTTCGCTCTCCTGGCGGGCAGGATGGAAACATGGGTGGGGTGAGTCTTCCTTGCTCAGAGCAGAGCAAGCACACCGTATAATCAGTGTGTGAGAGGGAGAGAATGTGTGTGTGTGTGTGTGTGTGTGTGTACACCCATGGCAGGGACAGGCAAGGAGAAGGATGGAGGAATGGCGAGGGAGGCAGAACCCCTTGTTGCTTCCCCTCCGTCACGCATCTTGGCAATAAGAGCTTTAAGATCAGCCTCTGGGCCCTGGCCGGGTTGCTCAGTGGTTAGAGCGCTGGCCCCAGGACAAAAGGGTCTCAGGTTCCATTCGGGTCAAGGGCATGTGACTCAGTTACGGGCTCGATCCAATCAACGTGGATCTCACATGGATGTTTCTCTCTGTGTCTCTTCCACTCCCTAAAAAAATAAATAAATAAAATAAAAAATCAGCATCTGGAGGCTGGGGACTGGACAAAGCCATCTCCCATCCCCTCTGCCCAAGGGGGTCTCCTTCCCCCTCTCTCCCTGGAGCACTCCCGCCCGTACTGAGTGGCCTGAGGCTCTGGTCCGCATTGGAGGCTGCACAAGGCCCTCACTCCGGGCCTGGGCCCTGCCCCCTCTCCCTCACACAGAGCCAGGGAGGAGCAGTCGCCCCCGCCCTCCCCCACCCCCTCAGCCCCATCACTTCCAATCACCTGCCCGGCTCCTGCAATAACCCACGTCCCCCAGCTCCTCGGGGCTAATGGTGCGGCTGCCTCCCGTCCCTGGGTGCACGGCTCTCCCGCACGGTGATTCAATCTGGGTCTTATCACCCCTAGGCCTAGCCCAGTGGAGTCTGCTCCTGTCCAGGCTGCTTAGTGCTAATGGAGGTCTGACCGGGGCTGCAGGCTGATTGATGGGCGGCCTGGCTGCTGAGGGCGAGTTCGCAGGCCCTCCTCTCCCCTCCTGCCCTGGGCTGGGCGGGCAGGTGCTGCACCATCCCAGGGAGGGAGCTTGGAGCAGGTGGAGTCACTGGGAGGAGAGGGGGTGGGAACCTGGAGGGAAAACAGAGGGGAGTAGACCTGACAGGTGAGCCTGGTTCAGGTGCACAGAGAGCGGCAGAGCAGACAGAGGGGACGGGACCCTCAGGTGCGGAGGCACGTGGAGACCGCAGAGAGAGGCAGCAGATGGCGAGAGAGACATGCACTCATGGGTGGACAGAGAAGGGACAGACAGATGCGGGGACAGCAGCTGGTTCAGAGTGTCCTGGAGAACAGTGTGCACTCCCCGGCTCCTTCTATCTCCCCTGCACTCCCCACCCCCCCACCTCTCTGCCCCTGAGCCTCTCTCAGGGCTGGGGGGGGGGGGAGAGAGAGGACTCCCAGCATTGCAGACTCTGCATTTCAGGCAGCGTTAACAGGACTGAAGCAGAGGGGGTGGAGGGCGGGTAGCAGAAGGGACCAGCGGGGCACGTGTGGTATTTCCAAGGTGCAGAGCCTCAGGGCACCAGAGACTTAAACCACAGCTGGAGGTGTTGCTGGAGGAGCTGGCAGGTGAGGCGAGGCTCTCCGGGAGAGCATGGGGACGGAGCCAATGGCTGCTCTGTAGCTGTGCGTGTGTCCTCCTCTGTCTGGGAACGGGAGCTGAAGGAGACCTGGGCCCGAGCCTTGTCCTGGGTGCTGAAGAGGGGGGCTAGCACCCACATCACCAGCATCACTGATGGACATGCTTAGCCTGTCCACGGACACACCGGCCAAGCCCTCACAGCCAGGCACACACACACACACACACACACACACACACACACACACACACGCACGCAGCCTCCCCGGTCACTCAGAGCTGGTGGGGTGCCCCCCCCCCCGCCGCACCCTATCGTGGCGCATGCCCCTTCCCTGTTAGTTACCTCCGGCTGTGCCACGTCCATTAGCTGCACACACACACACCCCACCCCACACACACACACCAGCGGACATGGGTCCATGGGACGGGACCCTGAGGACCCCCAGGATCTGGGACAGGGCCCTGAGGCTGCGGGAATCAGGCGCCCGGGGCCTCCGGACCAGGCACGGCCCCTCCATCCGGCGCTTCCTCTCAGAAGTGGCTGCTCCGATGGAAGGCAGAGGCTCAGAAAGGGCGGTGGGCGCTGCCAGGGTACCCGGCACCTGGGACAGGAGTCGGAGAGCCTCTCTCTAAGGAAGCTCCTGCCAGCTCCCTCCTATCCACTCAGAGGAGAAGGATCTGTGGAGCGGAAGCCAGGGGGCTCCCCAGCCCCCGGACAAGGGGATTAGTTCTCTGAAGAAGCCGGGGTCCATGCCATCTGCCCCCACTCCTGCCCCAGAGGAAGGACAGTCCCTCCTAAGCAGCCTGGCTTCCTTCCTGTCCTCTCCCTCAGGCTGGGTTCTGACGGGCAGGCAGAGCTGCTGTCCTGGTTTCCAGAAACAGCGTGGGCCAAACGCTGGGCAGCTGGGCAGGGAGTGTCTTGTGCCCCCCAGAACCCCCAAAATACAAAGGGTCCCGAGAGGGAAGTCCAGATCCGGAGGCCCTGGGCGCTACCGGCAGGAGAGCCCCTCTCACCAAATCCCTCAAGTGCAGCGGCCCCGACCGGGCTGCTGGGAGGACTCCTGACTCTCAGCTGCCCTACTGCCCTCTCCTGGAATGAGGGGCCTCCATTACTGGGAGCACCAGTCCCCTCCCAGGCTGTCTCTCTCTGCCCGCCCCACCCCCCACTCCAGCGCTGACAGCCTGCCCTGCTCAGATGGGAGTTTGAGCAGCCCGGGCTCTGGGGCACCGGGGCGCAGAGAGGTCTGGAGCCAGGACAGACAGGCAGACAGGCCAGAGCTGCAGGAGGAGCCCGCAGAGGGCCAGAGCCCCGCCGAGGAGCAGGCTGTGCGCCCAGAGGGCACTGGGCGAAAGGGAGCCAGTGCAGGTGCAGAGGGACAGAGCCAGGGTCTGGGGGGCAGAGCCGGGGCAATGCTCGGAGCCCACCTCCCGCTGCACAAGGGCCCCCCGCGTCTTCCCGGCCCAGGTTCCCTCCCTGAAGGGGAAGCCTCTGGGCTGGGGGTCAGAGTGCCTGGTCCTGCCCTTACCAGCTGTGTGATGTCAAGCCAGTTACTCACCCTCTCTGTGCCTTGGTGTCCTCCTCTAGGGGGCAGGGGTGTATTGTGGGGGGACAGGGCTCCCAAAAGAGAAGCTCCTGCCCCCTGATTCCAACCACCCCCTCCAGCGACAGCTGCCCCAGAGAAGACTTGCCTGGCGGGGAGTGAGAGGCGGGGAGGGGCGGCCCCAGCAGACCCTGTGGGAGGAGAGCCCAGGTCCTGCTGGGAGGGCGGGGCCAGAGCGCCCCCTCTGGTCACCACCATCCATTCCAGTCCCCTGACTCCCTGATTTTTCCCAGTGGGAACTTGCCTCCCAGCTCACCTCCTCCGGGCAGCCCTCACGGATTAGACTCGGGTCTTGGTACCCCCCTGGGTGCTTCCCAGGTTACAAATCCTCCCAGACCCTTAGTCTCCAGTGCGTCCATCCAGGAGAGGGAAACATACTTCCGGCGCTTTCTCTCCCTCATCCCCGTGGCCTCTCCTTCTGAGGGCCAGGAAGTCCTTCCCGCTCTCTGCCCTCCAGCTTCCTACCTGGATCTGAAGGGGTTAGTCAGCTGCAGACCCCCACTCCTCCCCCACCCCCACCACTGCGGGTCCCAGCTGCCGGGGCCTGTGGTCAGAGCTAATGTAGGTGAGCGTTAGCGGACAAGAAGGGAGAGAGTATTAGCATCGTTATCATTGAGGAGTATCGATTGTGGGGTCTCCAGGCTCGCTTGGTCTTATAAGGGGGCTCCAGGGGGCGGTGGGAGGGGCTCAGAGAACCTCGTGGAACCTCGGGCCCCTGTAGGGGTGGGAGCCGGCTGCTGGGCCTTCTCAGGGGGACACAGGGAGACGCAGGAGGGAGGCAGGGCTCCGGCAGGGCCGAGGGGCAGGGAGGGGAGTCAGGGTCCGTTATCCTGGCCAGGAGCACACACTGGGGTGGGCCAGAACGCTGAGGTGGGCGTGGCGTGGTTTCCCCTCACTACACTTTGCTTTAATAGATGCACATTCACGCGCTGTGTGCATCAGAGAGAGACAGAGAGACAGAGACTGCTAGAGAGATTCAACATGGCAGCACAAGCGGGGAGAAGGCAGGGATCCCTCCTCCTGAGGCTCATGAATATGCAAGTGACCCCCAACCTCCCCTGACGGAGGTGTCCTCCCCACTCTTGGGTCCCAGCGCCTCTTGCCTCTCGAGCGGCCATCTCAGCATGTGGGGTGGGTGGCGCCTCACGGTGGAGCGTGTTGCCCCCCCCCCACCCAGGTGACGTTGGCCCCGAGTGTCTGGTTTTGTGTTTGCAGGCGGCAGTCCCTGTGTGGAGGTTTGTGCAGACTGGGCTCTCAGCACATGTCTGTGCAAATCCCCATTCCCCAGCTGCAGTGAGAAGGGAGGCAGGGCCCTAGCTGGCTGGTTTGGCTCAGTGGATAGAGCGTTGACCTACAGACTAGAGGGTCCCAGGTTCGATTCAGGTCAAGGGCACACGCCCAGGTTGCAGGCTTGATCCCC